AGAGCAGATGTCGAGTTGGGATTGTATGAAATTGCATTAGTATTAGTGATGTTACACGGAAAAAATCAAAACATGCCATTTTTTATATTAGAATAGATAGATACAGCTTCTAAACTAAATGGTCTTTTTTTTTTGTTCGGTTCTTATGCTGTAATCTGTGAACTGAATGAGTCTGGATGCCTACTTCCTATGGGGATATATACATATACACAGGAATAGATATGTATGTATAGATGTGTATGTGTGCATTAATATATACATATAGGTATGTGCACTTACATAAATATAGGGATGTGTGTGCAGGTATGTGAACGATGCCTAAATTTACATGATGCTGTCGTTTGATGTAAGTCTATATTAACTGCACTGATTGATAGTGCAGCCAGGAAGACAGGAGAATTTACGAGAATGAGAAGTTAGTCTCATAGATGTTTGTCTGCATCTTTTTAGACATAAGCATCTTGTATCAGTTCTTTTCAGTTCTCTCACACAATAGCGTATTTTTTATTACTTGTGAACGAAAGCTGTCTATATATGCTTAGGACTGATTGCTTGGGAGTATAAAGTTAAATATGTACTTGTAAAGATTGTTGTTTGCCTTGGAAGCAAATCAATACATTTGCTGGGTAATTTCAGTGTAATCAAATTTAAAGTTCTTTGACTTTCAGCCTGGTCCCTGTCCCAAAGGCTGGATATAATCCAGTGTTCATTAATCTTCAAAGTTAAATATTTGAGGTGTCGGCAGGGCAGACTTCAGTCGTGATATTTGGGTGCAGGTGATTAGTGGCTGTCAGTACACAGGAGCTGTCAGTACATAAGGGAAAGAAAACAATAATAATAGAGTAGCCTACTGCAGACACAAATGGAACGTTCTGCTTGGAGCAAACATGATTTTAATGGCAGTTCTTTGTAGAATGGGATTTTAACCTCTTCTTTGAAAAACTTTATTTGTAAAATAAAGTCTCTGTTTACAAGTTACCCAAATGAGATGCTGCACATTGATGATCGTAGCAGTGTTCAGGTTATGATCCTGTTCAATTAGCTGTACTCACCCTGTAGTTTGTCTTTGCTCAGGGAGTTGATAACAAATTGCTTTATTAGTTTGGTTACTAGTAATTTTCTCATGCAGCTATTAAACATGCTGATTATCACTTCATGCACATTAAAAAAGCAGTGTCTTTTTTTTCCACATTAAATCCAGCATTACTTGTCATCTGAGTAAGCACAAGCTTTGTGGCAGGATCTCAGTTGAGAAAAATCGATTTAAAAAAATATTTTTATTCCTGTGCTTTGAATGTGTTTTTAGGAGTCATACCAGTCATCATAAATGTGTGCATTTTTGTGCATATCAGAGAATAAGAAGGTTGTCACAGTCTGTGATAGTTCTATTATGTTAGTGTAGGTTCTGCTGAAGTTAATTGTGAACTTCAGGTTTACATTGCTGGATATTGCAGAAGTACAAGGTGAGTGTATTGATAAACATAATGGTTAGGGCTAGTTTGTATGGGTTCTTATACTGACAGTGCTCATCATTACAATGTTTGAGTGTTTTCTGTTTTGTATTAAATTATTAACATCTATCATGCATGAAATGATGTAGATGTTAAATATATGCATCCCAGAGTTTCAGATAACTTAATCAGTAACCAAAGCAGCCCAGGGGAAACAAGGAACTTGTACTTGTAGGAGCTATTTGCTTCAAATAGGGTTATAAAAAAATTAGATATATTTCTATATTATTAAAAAGCATAATAAAAACAGATAACTGAAAGTGTACTTGTTCTAAAAGCAGCCATCGATGCCCTTGCAAGTAATACAGGTGTTTGTATAAATAAGTGCATATATAGATGTTTACATACGTATGTACACATCTATCAGGCAGTTTGCAAGTAGCCATGCTGTTTTGAAGGATAAGAGAGTTTACTAGGGTGGATGCACCTTTCCATACCTGTTGGTTTGTTGCAGTGCTTG